CAACAGTACAAAAGGGAAAAAAAAATAACTCCCTGGCTGAAGGGCTGGCAATTAATTTTGTGCTTAGTGTGTTTTTAAGGGGGGGAAATCAGGTTACAAATGTTAACAGGAAAGTCAGTCTTGGTTTTGTCCTAACATTTGAGCCATCATCTAAATGGGCCTGGTTCTCCTCTCATCTGCTTTGGTGTAAATCAGGAATTTGCAATGGCATTTCAGTGGTGGAAAAGAAAAGTCCAGCTCAGGGCATTTTAGTGTTGAGTTTGTCCCATCCAGTGAGCCCGTCTGGGGATAATCATTTCAGTTCTCAGGGTTTATTTTATTTTATTTTTTTGGGGGGGGGAGGTGTTGACTTTTTGCCATCCCGCTTAACGGATCCGTAGAAACTCAGCACATCAGAGGCACGGGAAACAAGCAGGCTCCTGCAGCTAGACCTGGTGAGGAAGCAATGGCTGCCTCGCAAGGAAAACAATAAATTCGAGCTGTTTTATGACCTTCTCAACCAGCCCTGCGTCTAACCGCACTGCCCGGCGGCTCTAGTACCGCTGGCCTGGCGGGATCTTGCAGATGATCCTGCCAGTGACTCTGAAACGAAACACAGGCACCCCCAGCAACAGCCCAGCGCTGCCCCCCAGCCAGGCGTAGCACGCAAAAGCGATCCGGCTGCAGCAGCCCCCCCCCCCCCGTTCTCCCATGCAATCAGCAGCGCACGTGCATCCAGATGGGGTGGGGTCGGTAATCCCCCGGGAGACACACTAGCCCCTCGCCCTAGCGCCGGGAGCTCAGCGAGGAGTGGACCATGCCAGAGCCTGCGCAACACCTGTTGGCAATTTCACCTCCTAACGTCACCCAGCCGATTGGGTTTCAGGCTGTGATTAAGGGACTGGCCTCCGCTGATTAACCCGTGCAGCGGGGCTCGGCCGCTCTCAGGGGGAGAGAATTCACCCCAGCCGCCGCCTGAGACAGACAGACAGACAGTGGGAACTAAAGTTTTCCTCGCCCCATCTCTCCACCTTTTCCCCCCCAGTGTGTTTGCTCGCGGGGCCCTGCCCCCAGCTGGCTTCTGCACCGGGGGCGCGTTGGAAAGGCGCAGAACTTGGGGAGGAGGAATTCGGTGTCACTAAAAATAGCTGCACTTAGAGAGACCCTGTGACTTCCCACGCTCCAGGGCAGGCGGCCCGCGGGCTGCCTGTCGCTGATGACCCTTGAAATTGCAACTAGCAGGCGTCTTCCCCCATCTCACTGCGCCCCGGAGGCTGGGCTCGGCTGAGGGGTCCGGACCCGACCTAGTGGAGTGGGGACGCGGATTCTCCCGTGTTGGGGGCTTGCCACGGCGAGCTCGGCTAATCGGTGGGGGATTTGACTGTTGGCTCTCCCAGACAGGGCTTCGCAACACTCTCCAGCGTAAAGGTAGGTGAAATAAACCGACCGAGCAAAACGTGAGAGCGAATCGATGCGTGTTGGCGAGCGGCGTGTAAACCGGAACAAAAGCGATCTGTTGCAATCTACTCCGCTCGCAGTGACCATGGGGGGACGCCTTCCCCTTCTTCTAAAGAGCTGCTCTGAACCGAGGCGCTGCTGTTTAATAAGTTAACCGCTTCTCTGCTCTCCACCTCCCGGGCATCGGTGGAATCAGAACTCCTGGGACCCCAGTAGCTTCGCTTCTCGCTGGTGGTTACATCTCGCAGCAGCCGATTGGTCCCAAGAGCAGAGGCAATACTGTCCCTAATTAAGCCTAGGTTGGCGGAGGCTCTACAACCCCAAGGTAAATTGGGATGGGGGAGGTTTCTGGGTGAAAGAGTTACGCGCTGGGCGCCTGACATTACGCGCTGGTGTGTAGCTTGAAAAGGGACCCACGGAGAACGTGTGCATGAAGTGGCTTGCTCAAGTGTCCAAGCAGAAGGACTTTCAGTGCGTGCGGGGGAACGAACCGTTCGAAGGCCGAACGCCTTGGGGGTCTTCTGGTGGCGGATTCTCCTTCTGCTTCCTCTGTTGGGCACTTGAAACGGTTGGTCATGAAACTGGGCACCTACAGACGTGGCCCGATTGCCAGAGGATCCCAATGCCTGTAGCCCCCATTCGGTTTCCCTGGGGATCGGGCCATTGGGCTGGGGAGCTGGGGATACATTTTAGGGATCCCAGTCTGAAGACTTTATACCTCTGCATGCCCTCTCTGTGGAGGGCTTGGGGGAAGATTTTTAAGACCCCCCGAGGAAGGCTGGCTAGTCTGGATCTAGGATCTCCACTCATCACCGTTTGCGTGTATTAAGTATTCAGACACCTAGTGCGCACAGGGCAGCGCTCTGCTGAGTTCTGCTATGGTGCGTAGCCCCCGTTTGTTGAGACCATGCCAGAAATGGCACTTGCTAGGACCATACCTAAGTGCGGGGGTTGGTTTTTTGGTTCACGTGTACGATGAAGTTAGAATGCTGCCCAGACCTCGCCAGAGCTGAGCGTTAGGTGACCGTTTCTTGCTTCAGCGAAGCTACAGGCGTATGATTTTTCGTACTGCGAATGGTGACGCGAAGCAGAGAGAGACTACAGGATGTGATTGGGTAGGAAATGCATGACACGAGACTACAGCTCCCCAGTGCTTAACTGTCTGCATCTTCAACGTGCTGCGTGGCTTAACAACAACAACAAAGACACACACACACTGAAATAGCACTATTCGAAATGAGTAGAACAGACCCACCAGGCGACCTTTTCTAATGCACTTTCTAATGCATCCGAAGAAGTGGGCTGTAGCCCACGAAAGCTTATGCTCTAATAAATTTGTTAGTCTCTAAGGTGCCACAAGGACTCCTGGTCTTTTTGCGGATACAGACTAACACGGCTGCTACTCTGAAACCTTTCCAAACCAAGACTCCCAAGATCATGGTTCTTCCTGAAACCCTGGTTTAAAAAACACAAAAGGGTCTGAAGGAGAGGAAGAACAACCCCACCAGAGGCAGACAATAGATCCTATAAACTGCGCTCCTCCTTCTAGCAAAACTCCCCTTGTTTCGCCCGAGCCAGGACTGCAGCAGGGGGCTTGGGAACGGGGTGTATTTGTCGCAAAGGTAAGAGCAGCTGGTGCTGATGAGTTAGTGGCAGGCTGAAGAACTGCGGTGCTGTTATAGCCGCGTTCAATCAACTCCCTGGGAGGAAGGGAAAGTTCAGAACCAAGGCTCTTGCGGCACGTAGGTAACCCAAACCTCTGATTTATGATTTGTCGTGAGTGCATGGACGTGTCTCTCTTTATATAGCACCCAGACGCGTAAGGCGCAAGGGGGCCAGTACTTATTGCTCCATTGGGCGCCTTCAAAACAGCCAGGCTCACAGAAGAAGGAAAACAGAGAGACCATCGCAGACTGGTAGAGGAAAACGGGCGGGACGGTGTCAGCGTGAAATAGGAGAGGGCCGGTAGATGGTCTGTCTGTGGCTTCCCACCAGCCCGCGTGCCGTGGAGCTCGTTTGATCCTTCTCAGAAATACCCGTGAGATGCAGCTAAGCGCGCGGTTGGTGCCGCGCACCCCTGCGCACTCCACGCGGCTCCCGGTCACTCCGAGAGCTGCCCCTTGAGCACACGGATCTGTGCAGAAAAACCTTCCCGCTGCTACTTGACGGGTTTGCCACCTTTCAGACTCCCCCTCCCTCCCTCCAGCGGCTGCTGCTGTTCTTTGTGCCTGCAGCAACAGGGTCCCGCTCCTGCGTGATCCGGCCCCTACTCCTCACCCTGCGCTATCGTTTCCCGGCTGCCTGGTTCGTATCCGCTGAACCGAATCGGTGTGTGCTTGGGGGGAGGAGGAGGAACTCCTCGCCTCCCGGCTGGGACCGAGCGAGGGCTCTGGGCTTTAGCTACATCCCCTTCCAAGGCAAGAGTTTGGCCCAGCCTTGTTACAACGCCCCCGGAAAAATCCCCGGAGCGCCCGGCCCTGGGGCGGGTCGCACCCTGGTCTAGCAGGCGCTGGAAGTGCCTCTCCGTCTCCAGCCCCGTATGTCTCCGAGCCCGTTCCCAGCCCGCTGTCTCTTTCCCCTTCGCCTGGGCACGTCTCGGATCGCTCGCCCGGGTCCCGCCGGGCTCGCCCGCAGCCCCAGCTCGGGCTCATCCCTGGGACCAGGCCAGGCGGCCCCAGCTGCGAGCTAAGCCGGCGGCGGGGGGTGTTGAGTTATTGCCGCACGCGGTGATCCCAGGATCGGTGCCCAGGTTTGGGAGGGGGGGGCGAGAGCCCCGCCCCCCCGGCAGCTGGCCAGGGGCTGATGCTGGCAGAGTGGGGAGTAGCTGACGCTGACTGGGGCTACGGTGAATACAGAGCAGGGGGGGCTTTGTGTGCTTTGTCTGCTGGCGTGTCCACAAAGGCCGCGCTAGCTAGCGCTGGGGCCGGGTCCCCTTCCCGCAGGTGGGGGTGGGACGGGGCAGGATGACCCCCCCCCCCCCCCCCGGTTTCTAGCAGGAGGGTCTGGGCAGCAGCCCCCACCCCTCCCGCCACCAGTGGCCTGCGGGATCCCTGGGGCGCAGGGCAGCGGGGAAGGGGCTGCGGGTCCCCTCCCTTCCCTCGGCCTTCCCCCGGCAGGCAGCGACCCCGTTCCGCAGTGTGCCCGCCCCGGGCCCGCGGCTCCCTCCTTCCTCCAGCGGGGGGATGCGGCGAGCTCACCCTGCACCCATCACCCCCCCCCCCGGCTCCTCCCCCCCTCCCCCCCCGCCACTCCGGTCTGCTCCACCTCCCCCGTCCGGTCTGCTCCTCCCCCCCGCGCCCGGAGCCGGGGAGGGGGCCGCTCGGTGCAGCCGGCACAGTGGGGCGGAGGGACGGGGGGAGACTCTGCCCAGGCGTCCCCGTCACTCACCGCACCCCGTCTCCTCTCTTGTGCAGGCGGCGCAGCGGCGGGGAGACTCCGCACCGGCCGAGGAGGAGGAAGAGGGGGGGGGGTTTTTTGTTTTTTTTTGCTTCCTCTAGGATCCCCCCCTTTGCCCCCCCCCCCGCCCCCCCTTCCCCCCTCCCCGCCGAGGTTTCTCTCTGGGTCCGGCCGGCCGGCAGCGCGAGTCTCCTGGGGGAATCTCTCCGAGCAAGCTGGGATCTATGAGCGGGAAGGTGATCAAGCCCAAAGAAGAGAAAGATGCTTCCAAGGGTAAGTCCGCCCGAGCCTGCTGCCTCGCATGACCCCGGCTTGCCCCATGCATCGTGCGTCCCTCCTGGGGACCTCTGGTGGGGGGGGGCACAACACAACACAACACCCCCCGACCTGCTCTCGATCTGCGGGGGCCCGCCCCGGGGCGGTGTGAGAGCAGCATCCCGCCGGGGGGCGCGGTGGGTGCTGCCCCTCTCGGGCCATCCAGGCTGGCGTAGCAGCGCCAAGTGTCTGGACCAGGTGTCAATAGTGTGTGTGAACGGGGAGGGGGGGGGATAATTCGCTTCTGTGCTCGCAGCCAGGGGGGGGGAGGCAAATGGGGCCCGCAGTGCTGGATGCGTCGCCCGGAGAAGTCTCTTCCCCCCCCCCCCTCCGCGTTTGGAGCCGGATCCGGGCTCGCTTGGGGAGCGATCCCCAAGGCCTCGGCCCCTCCGAGGCTAGTCTGCTCTCTGGCCCCGGGAGGGTGGGGGTGTCACAGGCTGCGAGCAGGGAGCCGAAAGCCCCTGTGCCCCCCAGGCACGGGCAGCGGGTCCCCTGTGCAATCTGCACCGGGGAGATAGAGGGGTGTGTGTGTGTGTGCGCGCGGGGAGGATGCTGGCCAGCTCCTGCCATGCAGTGGCCGGGTTTTGGTCCTGGATGTAAACTGGGTAACAATTGCCATGGAGACGGGGGAGGAGAAGGAGGAGGAGGAACCGCAAGTGGATTAGTTGGCTATACAGCTCTGTGGCATGGCAGGCTGCTGGGGAGATGCACAGCGGCAGGATAGAATGCACAGGAGGGGAGGGGGTGTGTGTGTTGGGTGGGGGTTGTTGGTAATCTGGGGGAGATGCTGCTGCTGCTTCTCCCCTCTCCTTCACAAGGTTGGTGCAGGGTTTTCATTAAGAACCCTTCCCCCACCCGCTGGCTGTGTCCGAGGGGTCAGTATACACCTTGCACTGAGTGGAACTTGGCCAACTAGATCCCAGAACAAGAACACCGTTTTGCTTGATAATAATTACACAAATCTGCTTTTTCCAATATAGAGCATATAACGTAGACAATCACAGGTGTCAGGCTTTAATGGGCTCCACAGTAAGGTTAAATGTGACTGGCAATTAGTCTGTATTAGGGCCTAATTTGGAATATTGGATGAGTACATTTGGGAAAGTAGCCTGTGTGTGCTGTATCTTTTTAATAAGGAACGTTGCTACCTATTTTCAATATATCTATCAACTGCCTTTAATATTTATTTACATGACAGAGTGGAGCCACTGGGCTCTTACAGGTGAATTATACAATGTTTTTAACCTTCCATGAAGGAAAAAACAAACAAACAGTTTCTGCCTGTTTTTTTTAAAAAGAAATAAACAAGTTTTCTGGTATGTGATTTATTTGTTTTTAGCAGTCCTAGCACATCTTGACCAAAGCCAGGTAATTCAGTTTCAAGGCTGACACCCTTTTCATGTATTCCTTTTTTTAGTTTATTGGCTTCTAAGGTCATGTTAAAAACATTGCATTGTGCAAACTTGTTTTTGCATTTAATATGCTTTTTAAACTATGTTTTGTTTCCTCTTGTTATATCGTATTGTCTTCAAAATATTGATTTAAAATATTTTGATTGAATTGCTTTTGGTGGAAAATATGAAAATCCATAATCTGGATGTGTCATAAAAAAAATTTCCAAAGAAAAAATTCTTACACTTAATGGTCTTTTCCTTTTAAAAATATACTTCACTGTAAAAGTCTGGTAACAACCATTTTTTCTTAATGGCTTGTTTACCAAAAAGGTATCAAAATAACTTAACAAGCAATACAGAATGAAAGGATCCTGCATTCTAAGGAGTTGCTTTGCATGATTTAGAACTGCATTATAATCTTAAACAAGAAGATTCTGTAATGCTTGCTCATTAGTGTAACATTTCCAAATTTTCAATGTAACGTAAGTGTTTAATGTTTTGTTCAGTCTGCAAATCATTATCTTTATTTTTACATGAACTTATTAACTTACCTTACACTTTCTGGTGCATATGTATAGTTTGTGTGGCATACTCATATTTCCCAAAACATTGAGGCAAACACATATAACTGACTGAGACTGACTTACACACACAAGTGTCCCTGAGCATGTACCATAAAGTGTATATGCCAAAACCCCAAGGAAAACTACATTGGCATGAGTCTTTTAGAACTGGCATTAGTGTCTTCTCTCTTAATCTAGTTCTAAACTTTAAATTGACTAATATATCAAAAATCATATTAGATACAACATAAGGAGATAATATTTACAGGAAGTTTGATATCTTTGTAGCAGCGTGTGGCTATGGTTGTTTTCTTTAAACTTCTGCAGTGCACCCCAATGTGGTGGTTATCAATTTCTGCATGGAAGTTCTCTTCAAAGGCTCTGGATACTGATTTCCTATTTGAATTAGTTTTTCTTCAAACCGGTTGGAGGTTTTTTGGGGTGACTGACAGTGATGGCATTCTTAACTAAACGTTTAAAACGGATACAGCCATTCTCAAAATGGGCTGGCTGTTCTGTCTGTGTATCAGAACTGTACTCTGACTGGAAACTAGAGGAAGGTTTGCCATTGTATAGAGCACCTTCCTCTAGTTTCCAGTCAGAGTACAGTTCTGATACACAGATGTGTGTACGCTCTTTATGCTTCTGGGTTGGCTAAGCAGTCCTGGAAAGGATGATGCACAGTTATATTTATGTAAATGCACATGGTTTGTTTTGGAGACATTTTCCTGCGTCCCTTGTTCTCTCAAATATATTGTGGAGTTGAAGTACCTGACGTAAACAAAGCTCTCAGGATACTATGGTTCCACGCTGAGTGACAATGGAAATTGTTTTCGGAGTGTGAATTGAATATCAGTCTTTCTCTTTATACCGTGAAACTTTGTATCAAAGAGGAAAACGCTTATTTATGCTCAAAATAAAACTCCCCTCTCCCCAGTGTTTTTCAACTGGACTTGTAAGGTCAAATTCAGCGCTAATATAAGCAGATGGAACTCCAATGAAGTCTGTGGAATTATCTCTACTTACAGCAGCTCTTAACGGGGTCCATGAAGTAGGTACTGATTACAACAGAATCATGAGAAGTTGTGCCCCTGGATGTGGAACCTGGCTAGGAAATAACAAGACATGCATAGGAAGTGTTCTCTGCTTGTGTTAAGTATTTTAGATCAAATTGTCTATTGGGTTACACCTGTGCAACCGTACTGACTCCAGTAAGGGAATATAACAGCGGGAAGAATTGTCTCTAATTTAAAAATAACTGCTCTCCTTGCATCCTCCCTGGAGAGGGAAGCAAGTATTGGCCTCAACTCTTGTTAGTGCCCCTATTTATAACTACTTAACTGTAACCCCAGGCGCAGCTGCTTTTAAAAATAGTCCGTCAGTACCAGAAGACCAGGTATTTCAGCCTAAGTAATCAATGTGGATTAACGCCATGAAGCAGGGCATATGCACCTTTAAATTGTGGAAAATGCTACAGCAGATATGAAAACATTTCAGATGCAAACATTGATTTCTTGTCTAAACATGAGTATTGGACAAGCTGCAAGATATATCCCGCCACTGATGGAGATGTAAACTCAGAGTCCAGTTGCACAGCTAGGTTTACGTCCATGCCTATACCAGTACTCTGGCTGTTTCATAAAAGAAAACATTTCATTTTCAAGAACAAAAGTGAGCACCTTGACTGCCCCCTTTGCACAAATGCAGGGCCTGAGCTTGCTTTCCTTCTGACTGCAAGTTTCCCTTTAGCTTCAGGGGGAGTCTTGGGTGCTCTAAGAATGCTGCATAAGGCGCTTAGTTCTTGCCTTAGTAGTGTGGCCATCAGAAATAGTTCCCTTTCAATTTGAGTTATGTATTCAAGGAATAGTCAAAATGTTCATCCCTAGATAAACATGTACTTAACACAGGCAAACTCTCTTGAGTCTGATTCCTGACCTGTGGGGTATTGAGAAGTGTGTGTGAGTGGGGGTGTGAGATTGTGTATGTGTGTGTGTGTGTGGGGGGGGGAGGAATAGGGGTGGCAGTGGCAAAGCAGATGACTTTTTAGGTAATTCTTTCCTGAAAGATTTTTTTGTTGTTGTTGTTGTTTGGAAATCTTGTCTGAAGGCTTCTTTTGAGTAGTCAGTCTACTCACTTGGAGAACAGTATAGCCAGCATCTCAGATGGATACCTATGAAGAGTCTTGTTCTATGTTGGGGCTTTATCAGGATCATCCATTTGGGGCTAAGGTATTTTGTTTTTCTTTGTTAAATGTTTGGTTGGGTGAGACAAGCCTTACAGTGAAGGAACAGGGCTTTAGAGTCTTCAGCGGGCTCTGGATCAGGTCCTGATTCCTGGGAGAATTTATGCTGTCTCATATTCATATACTGTAACCTAGACACCTGCAGAATTTAGTTCAATCTTTTGGATGGGATGCAGTAGACTGGTGATTCCACATACATGTCCCTGCTGAGGACACTTGGGAAAAAATCCCCCAAACCAAAGAAATGAATGATCTCCCCCCCCCATTTCCTCTCCCAATTTTAATTGTGCAGTTGCAGAACTTCACACAGCAAGATGGCCATAGTCTGTCTTCCTGCCGCCTACCTTGGCTGCAAGGTTTGATAACTTTACACAGAAGTTTCATAGCATAAGCCAGCAGAGTGACACTATATCTTCTCTGTCTGAATGCAAAATCCGGGAGTATTTTCCAAGCTGACTCAGATTGAAGCTCTGTTGAAATAGTGGCGCTCAGGGTGAAAGATTTTGGAAGGGTGGGTAGTGTTTTAGCTTGGTGACAGCAGGAAACAGAGCACATAAAAAATTCAGGTGCCTGGCAGAAAAGTCTGAACTCTGGGAAACCTGCCGCTGATTGTCTTGTTTGTGGGGGTGCTCCATAATACAGTACGATCCAATTTATGATTGGAAGGTCTAAGGAAAATTGAGACAAATAAATAAGCTGATCTCAACAGTTGTAACACTCACTGATTCATGGGACAGTTACTTATTTTAAAGACACAAG